TTCTGAGACTGTTTTTGTGGGCTGTTGTAAAGCAAAAGAGGAAAAGGAGAATTTACTAAAGGTATTGCAAACTCTGTTGTCACTAAGATCTGCATCCTCCTGAGAGATTCTGGAAGATTTTGACACCAATATAGACGAGTAGAGATGAAACGCAAATGTTTTGGGGGAAACTATTATACAGAATTCAGGAAAGCTTTAGAAAAGAGTGAAAGAAACTTGAAAAGGAACATATAAACTGACACTGAGGTGTGCAGCTGGAAAGCTGCAAGAAGAAGGCGTTGGCTAGCAACTGCTTCTTTCCCTGGCGCAGAGAGTGCCCCTTGATTGCCATACTAATTAAGAGTCTCATTAGGCTTTCAGTTAGAAGGTTAAATTTCTTCTAAGCTGCATGTGGAATCCTATCCTTTCAGATTTGCCTAAAGATCTTCAGGATCATCAGCTGCCTTAAAGAAAATATTCTGGAACAAAAGAGACAGTGCTGGCCATCCCTTCTCCTGCACAGCTTTAAAGGCCACAACACACATTCTTATTATGCTTCTTTTTTTTACAGCTGCATGTACCTTGTCACTTTGGCTCTCTCACTAGCCCAGCTGGGTCATTTTTATCTGGAATCAAAAGAGGAGAAAGCTCGGTTTCACATTCCTTTTGAAGGCTATCAACAACACCCTGCAAATAGTGGCTAGGAGTTTTCCTTTCAAACCAAATGGACTACCTCATTCTTTCTTTTGATCATGCAGAAATCCTGAACCTGAACTGTATCAAGTGGAACTATTGGTCACAAAATGTGCCTGCTCAAGAAGCTGTTGTTATCTTCACATTTAACTCACATCCTCTAAAAAGCAACACACACCCTGGACTTATGCCCATGGACCATCACATTCCTTCATTCTTGCAGAGCCCAGCTTCAGAACTTGCTGTATCCATCTATTGCTCCCAGTCCACAGCTCCTAGAACAAAAAGTAAGCACTGGTCTTCACTTTGTCCCTGCAGCTTTTAAAGTGCAGCACACCCAGGAATGTGCACTCAGCTCTGGGGACCCTCATGCACTGTCAGAGTCCAGTTACAAAGCTCAGAACATTCAGCAGCTGGTCCCACAGGAGAAATTCTAGAAGAAAGAGGCAATGCTGGAATTCACTTTCCTTTTGCAGCCTTTTAAACTGCACAGCCAACAGTGAGACAATTCATCTTCCTTCACATGCAGAATGACACATCCCTTCCCTCTGTGAAAAATGTTTTTGTGATTTGTGTCAATAGGCAGTGGAATCAGCAATTGAAACTTTCTGACCAAATAGCCAAATAAAGCATTGAAATAGAAGAAGTAAAGAGATGAGGTAGCAAAACGACTGATGAATAGAATAGAATAGAATAGAATAGAATAGAATAGAATAGAATAGAATAGAATAGAATAGAATAGAATAGAGGAAGTTGTGGTAAAGCTAAAGGGATATTGCAACAGAGCGACTAAATGCTTATGTATAATTAAAATCTTGACACACTTGACAAAAATCACGTAGCAGACACCAGTAAGGCCTCCCTCCAGATGACCACACGAAGGACAGGAAGCCAATGACCACAGGAAAGATTATGAAATTGCTGATCCCAGCTTATTGATATTTGCTGATTTGGACTAACACAAGTACATTGGAAAATGCTTTTTATGCTTAAAAACAGTTTATATACTTTGCCAAACTTGTAAGTTGTGTGTGCTGTTAGTGGAGCAGTGACCTCCCCAGGCCACCCAGCGCTGCTTGCTTGCTTTCTTTAAAATAAAAGATATAGCAATAAAATTCGGTTTGGCTATCGAAATTTTGTATCACTTTTATGCGGGATTTTGTATCACTTCTATGCGGGATGCTCTATTTTACAGTGTAAAATAGAGCATCCACAACAGAATCCCTTCCCTGCCTGCTCTCACACGAATGGTGCCGGGACTGAAAAGCGCTCGGCTTTTTCCTGGGCACTGACATAAAAATGGACACACGATGGCGGTGTGGACTTGCCAAAGAACAAAACGCACCTCGCCTATCTAAAGTACCGAAAGCGCGGATCCAGGTGGAAATCGCCACCGCGCTCAAATCAACAGTCAGGACAAAAGGATTTCGCTGCTTTCCTGAGTACAAACCCTTGTTTGCCCCACACTCAAGCGGCAACACAAACTTCTTTGCACTAATACATTTTTTTCACTCTTGCAGAGCTCGGCTACAAAGTTGAAGCCATCTGGCAAAGGCAAAGCTCAGGTAAGCGGCAGCTGAGAATGTTGGTGCTGCCCTACAACTTCAGCTGCACCCAAAGAACTGCTCCTCACACTGCTCAATTTGGCGCATGGCTTCCACTTCTCAGAGGTGGCCTTCAGAAATTTTGGCAGTGCACTTATTTCTGACAAAGTCCTGCGCTCAGGATTGGTGAGCCGAGCAGGTAATGCCCAGTAACAGTGTTCTGGCACTTTTGTAGGGGCTCATTTCCCGGGTGCTGTTTATTCCGGAGGAGGTGGATCTACTTTCTTTTGACACGAGGTTCATAGTTCCTCTCTTTAGCAAAGAAACCAATTTTGGATCTGCAGATTGGGTAGTCTTGATGAAATGGAATGGCTTTTCCTAATAGGCAGCTCTGTCGGTGAGAGCTGTTGAACTGTCCCGGTGGGAATGCAAAAGCAGCTTGGCGAGCTTGGTGAGCTTTCTGTCCTGGTACCTTGTGTGAGCAGTCACTGGAGCCATTCCATTTGGATCCTGGCTCTGTAAGGCTGAAGGCTTATGATGCTTCATAGAGCTGAGAAGGAAAGTGCAGATAATAGTGTGATAGATTAGTAATGTGATTATTTACTCTCATAATTAAAAGACAATTATCATGTATATAAATAATGTTTTACCCCCCCCCCCCTTGCATTGTTATCAGGGAACAGCCTGGGTTTGGGACATTTGGGAGGGTTGGCTAGCGACTATGCAAACACCTGACCTCCAATGAAGATTTAAGGAAGTGAACTCCACCACTGGACAGCAAAGGAATCAATGGACAGAGCTTTGAGAGGGACTAAAGGTTTAAAAGATAAAACCTCCATTGTGTGAGTGGGCACATGATGAGAAAGATCCTTTGCTCCTGGCTCTGTAATATTTTCTCTATTCAATCTTCTGTTATATTTTTGATAAGGTTCTAGTAAACTTTTCCAATTTTTTGGAAGTGACCAGCATTTCACACAGTAGAGTGTGTACTGGTAGGTCTTTGGATGCAATAGAATTTTGGAATTTGTAAGCAGCAAGAGCTTTCTCAGCTGGCACTTCTGTGAGCTGTGTTTTTGCCAGATGGTTTTGTGAAATAATTAATACTATATGGCTCTACACAGATAGTTACTATATGTATTATGTTATATTGATTAGCTGTGCTGTATTAACATTTCAATAGTATGGTAAGTGTAGTTTTGTAGTTAAAATGAAGCTTTAGTAGTTAAAATAGTAACTATGTATGTGTGTGTGGTTTGTTTTTTTTTTTTTTTTTTAAGGAATGAGATACTCGTTTTGGGGTAACCATCACAGAACACCTAAATCTTCAGAGAATAGGAATTTATGGTTTTCTGATCAGAAGAAGCTAATTTCTTCAGGCCTTGCTCAGACTTGAAGACACTGTGGTGATTAAAGAAAAGAGTTGACATATAACAGAGTTTCTTATTTTAAATAGAATGTATGCATAACCATGAAGTATGTATGAATATGCATAAGTGTATTGTTTTAAGGGTGATTGCTTTGTTCACAAGGTATGCTTGTCCTGGCTTAAGTGCCTGAGAGCATCTGGACATCCGTAAATTTTTGCTTTTTATTGTCTTGTAATTGTCCTAACTCTAAATTTTTATCCCTCTAATTGTTTTACTATTTTTATAGCCATTTTATTATTTCTAAAAATTTAAAAAACCAAGCGGTTGGCGTTTTTCACAGTTTCAAGCTCACCGCTGGACTCAGCCAGAGTGAAAAGATTTATTAGCACGGAAAAGATTTACACGCGTTGCCTTTGAGCGTGGTGCAAATAAGAGTTTGTACTTGAAAGGGGAAGGTCAGCGAGACCTTTTTGTGTCCTGACAGAGTGGATTGTAGAGCAGTGAGGTTTCCAGCTTAGAAGCAAGGCAAGGAGCGGCTCCTTCTTTTGCAAGCGCACATCGCCACCGTACGGTCGGTGCTGTGGGGGGATTCATCTCTCCCTTTCCTGCACACACCCGGACACACGGATGTCGCTGTTGGACATGAAAATAAGCACATCAACGCCCAGCAAGTTCAAAGGCCAAAAATCAGAGTGTTTTATTCGAGCATCTGGTGTTTATAGAATTCCAGAGGTGCCCGCGGATTGGAGGATGGAATGACCACCTCTCCAGCCACGCGAGTCCATCAATTCTCTCCTCCCACAAAGAACGCAAAACAATCATTATTTACATGAAAGCGCGTGAGGACTCTAGTAGAAATACGCAAACAGATCAGAAGGCTGAAGAAGTTTCGTGAGAACTTTAGGACTTTCAGAAGAACTATAGAAGAAAACACTTTTAAAAACCAGGGCGACACACGGGTGGCTCGCAGCTTCCTTCGCATCTGCGCGCAGCATCGCAGCCACCGCTGATCTCGAATTGTCCAGCTGGGATCGGGCTCTGCTCCCAGGGAACAGGGGCAGGACAAGAGCAAGCTGTGCCAGGAGAGGCTCGGGTTGGACACCGCGAGGAATTCTTTAACTTAAAGCAGCATTTTTTTTTTTTTTTCTTGGACATTGGAATAGGCTGCCCAGGCTGGCGTTACTTTTACACCCTGAGGCGTTGAGGGAAACACCGGAGGCACCACTCAGTGCCACAGCCCGGCTGACACGGCCATGTGGGTGTCACAGCGCGGCCTCAGCGACCTGCACCACCTGTGCGCCACGCCAATGAGCTCCGCGACTCTTTTAATTTATTTTATTTTAATTAATTAATTAGCGCTCGGCAGCGCCTGAGGGCGCCGCGGCCCCGCCCCGCGCAGCCGCGCCGCGCACGCGCGGCCCCGCCCCGGGAGGACGCAAGATGGCGGCGGCGGCGCGCGGGCTGCGGCTGCCAAGGGCAGGTGAGTGTCAGCTCCTCACGGCCACGACACGCTCCGCTCCTGGCTCTCTGCAAGGACAGCTCGCCCCGCTGCGGCTGGAAGGGAGCCCTCGATAATTTTTTTCTTTAATTTTTTTTTTTTTTTTTTTTTTTTTTTTTTTTTTTTTTTTTTTTTTTTTTTTTTTTTTTTTTTTTTTTTTTTTTTTTTTTTTTGGGCGCGGACATGATGGTGTTGGTGCCTCCCTTCTTCTTAGGGGGGTTGGAGCACACAAAGTGCTCGGGGTGTACCTGCGGCTGTCACTGCCCTATAAGCTCAAAATTTTTCGATTACTTTTGTTGTTTCTTAGGTGAGCGTGACCTTTGGGCCAGGATCTGTGGTAAAGTTCAGCTACCGATATTATATTTAAATATATTTATATATATTGGGGCTTTGATTCGGTTTAAACTGATTCTGCTCACGGTGTTAGGTGGAGTAACGTGGGAGATGGCAAACGGGTTTGGTTGGTAAAGGGCACAGAGGAATTTAATATCCTTTAAATAGGAGCAGTTCTTTATTTACCTTAGTGGCTGCCAGACTGCTTTCCAGGACAAAATGGGAGATGTGGTGTCTTTTTTTTCCAGTTTGTGGGGTTGGGAGAGAATGAGGATAGACAAACTTTTGGGTAGAGAAAAAGGTGCTTTGGGTGCTACTGCAGATATTTGAGCTTTAATTCACAGAATGACAGAATTATTTGGATTGGAAGGGACCTTAAGGATCATCTGGTTCCAACCCCCTGCCATGGGTAGGGACACCTTCCACTATCCCAGCTTTCTCAGAGTCCCATCCAACCTGGCCTGGAACACTGCCAGGGATGGGACACCCACAGCTGGTAATTATTTAGGGTACCCAGATCTCATAGAGTTATGGAACAAGGAAAGTTGCTCATCAGTAAACACCTTATAGCATAAGGGAAGGACAGCAGGGAAATACACAAAAGTGGGAGAATACAAAACAGCAAAACAGTAATTAAATATTTTTTGCTGGTATGATAGTGAAGAGACATTATGAAGAGCCTGCCACTAATAATTTTTGCTGAAGTAACACCAAAGAAGCCACTGAGTAGTTGAAAGATGTAAATTATTACTGATTTTTTAACTTTCACTGGCTCTCAAACTGTCTTTCAGGACAAAATTGGAGATGCAGTATCTTTTTCAAGTTTGTGGGGTTATGGAGAGAACAGGGATAGACTTTTGGGTAGTGAAAAACCTCCCTCAGGTGCTGAAATCTAGTTGGACTTTCTGGTTTGAGTTCTGCCAGCTGGCGTAAAAGAATATCATTTATGCCTCAACACATAAACAAGCAAAGGTCCCTTTGATCTTCTGAACATTGTGGCTGCAGTGTCAGTGCCCCTGTGTAACTGGTAATTCCTATCCACACTGGGATAAAACCTTCAGTGTGCATATGTGAGGCTGCTCCCAGTCCCATCCAGCCTGGCCTTGGGCACTGCCAGGGATGGGGCCGCCACGGCTGCACTGGGCAACCTGTGCCAGGGCCTCAGCATCCTCACACAAAAAATCCCTTCCTGATATCCTATCCTATACCTCCTCTCTGTCAGTGTGATGCCATTCCCTCTTGTCCTGTCACCACATTCTTATGTATATCAGTATCCTGATGATGTCCGGCCTCCGTGGTTCCCAAGTTTTCCTTGCTCCTTGAGGAAAGGAACAGCTTTGAGGCATTATCCCATCTATCATGGATCTGGCTCTTTGCATCTCTCCCTGTCTCCTCGCTTCAGAGCTGTGATACAGGAGGATTGCTTTTTATATTTATTTTATATTTTTACTGAGTATTCTTTACTTGCTTCACTTAAAACTCACCGTGAGCTTTCCTTGCTCTTTAAGGAGTGATAGCCTCTGTTTGCTTTCCCTGTCTCTGTTTGGTCCTTAACTTTACCAGCAACTTCCCAGGCCTCCTCCCCACTGACCTTACCAGATACCTCTGAAGCAGCCCATCAGGAGTCTTGGCATGGGATATTAGAGAGGAAGCATCTGTGGTGAGAAAACCAATTTAAGCTGTGAGTTAGCAGTGCTGAATCCCAATTAATATCCCGAGCTCTCTCCTGTTTCCTATGCAGGCCATGGAATTTCTGTCCTGACTGCAGCGCCGTCGGCGTTGCAGCAGCACCGCCAGGTCCATCACGCCGTGATCCCTCATGGCAGAAGTGGGAGATCCTCTGTCAGTGGCATTGTGGCCACTGTCTTTGGAGCCACAGGATTCCTGGGACGATACGTTGTCAACCGCTTAGGTAACGCTCACCAGGTGTACTGATGAAAGAGATACCCAAAAAGATGTTTAACCACACTAATTAGTCTCTGGGTTGCATGGTGATGGAGAATTCTCTGGCATTTTGGCTCTTAAAAGTGTTTTGCAGTCTGCAAGCATGTTTTGCAGCCTGCCAGCATGTGACAAGTAATAATCAGTGCTTTAATCAAGGAGATATTGGAGCTTTGGAAGATTAGGGTCATTAAAAGAAGTCCTACCCCTCTGTAGAATGCAAGTCTGAGGAGAGGTACAGCATGTATTCGATTCTTCTGGTTTTAGCCATATTAGGACATTTTACCAAAGGTTTGAAGGAGTTTGATTGGAATTGCCAATTCTTTGGAATTGCCATTTTGAATTTAAATTTTGGAAAATAACCCATGCTGCTTTTTTCCCCTCCTTCTTTTCATGCAGCTTACAAAATGTTAATATCCTTGCAAATGTTCCATTTTTTAGGTATTGTGCTGTGTTTGTAGGACACACCATTTTTGTTGTTAACGAGCTTTGGCATTTTGTCTTACAAGCCTAAATATTAAGGAAAAAGTCCTGTTTAAGAATTTGAATTACGTAGCTTCAACTGTTCTACTTCTAGCTTTGCAGATATGCATTTAAGATACTTATGTATAATAGTAGTGCTTTAATGCCAGGGAGGAAAAGGGAGCTTTGTTTATTCAGAAGTTCATCTACTTAAAGAGAGGTGTTTGTTTGAAACTTTGTGGTTTTTGTGGCCCTTTAGGTCGCATTGGCTCTCAAGTCATCATCCCCTATCGCTGTGATCAGTATGACCTGATGTATCTGCGGCCCATGGGGGACCTGGGGCAGCTTCTCTTCTTGGTGAGTCTGGCTTGGCATCAAGCACAAAGCCCTGGCTATACAAGGCAGCCAGGTAATCCTTCTCAAAGACACAGCTCCAGCTGTTGTCTAGCCTCTAAATGGAAATAATGTGGAAGAGCTTGCTTTGGTGATGCCTATTTACACATTATCTCATTTTTTCCCCCATCTGATGCTCTGTTTGCAGGAGTGGGACTGTAGGGACAAAGATTCCATCCGAAGAGCCGTGGAACACAGCAATGTGGTCATTAATCTTATTGGAAAGGAATGGGAAACAAAGTAATTTTCTTTTTTTTTCCTTTGTATATCATAGATTTGAACCTGGTATTGTAGCCATTGTTTTACAGCTTGTGTGTGCAGTGATGTTTCCATTTTCTTGGCTTCTGTGAAAAGACAACCCCAGTATTTTGCATGCAAACTTTCTTTAAATTATTAATTCCAGTCCTGGTAGTGATCTGCTTTGGAAAAGTGCATTCTTTCCACAATTTTCCAGTGTACAACTTTTGTTCTGTCAGAACATTCAAATGTGCTACTTTCACATATCTCATGAGTGTTCCTCGAGTGCCATCCTATAGATGACAAAGCCTCACCAATTTCTTATATTAAGAAACAATTTTTTATATTTAACTCATATTTACATTATATTTGTATTTACATTATCACAGAACTAAGATTTCATCCTGTCACTTGGACATAGTGATGAGTTGTAGCCTGCTAGAAAAAGCCATGATCAAACAGGAGTAACTGATGGAGAGTCCCGAAGATGATGACTAGTAACATCATTCCTTGGTAGAATTTTGGCACAGACAATATTAGCTACAGAAGCATTCCTTGATAATAATTTCTAAGAATAGTTCCTTTTTGAAATCCATTTTAAAATTCCCATATTTTAGGTTAAAAATACCTGTAACAGTCACCTGCTGTGTGTTTGTTCATGCACTTATGTCCATTTTATTTAAAGCCTTGTGCAGAACTGCCAGACAATAATTTAATTATGAGATTTGCCTTTGTATGGTGCATATTTTTGCTCTGGTAGTAGATGGAAACAAACATAGATATCAGTTTCATCTCTGTTTATAAACCTAATGCTTTTGTTGCCTTTTTTTTTTTTTTATGAACAGCCCTTCAATGTTCAAAATTTCTGGACTTGTGTAAGAAGTATGATTTATAGAAAAGGCAGTTTCTTTTATTATTAAAAGGAAGGGTGAGGACAACAACAGAAAGTTTCATTCTGGTTAAAAATCCCCAAACCTTGTTCTCTGTGAAGTTTCAATCGATTGAAACAGACAAGTCTTGGTCCATGTTTAAAACTTTTGGACGTTACAGAACTTAACCACTGTGTGACACAAATGTTTTAATCACATGCTTTGTGCATTTGGTTATCGGTGGTGGTGCTGAAACCCTGAGATCAAGTTCTCTGATTTTGTTAAACACGAGGTCATTGTAATCATCCCAGAGCCTGTGAAAGACTTGGGCAGGAAGAAAAGTAAGTTTAGATGGAGAGATCAGTCAAAAAAAGCAAAGCCTGCCATGAAATATTTTCTTCCTTGCTTTGTACTTGTGTCCAGGCTTCTCTGTGTGTACTGTGTTGTTTGAAACTCCATGGTTACAGGAGGGATGTTGTTCGTTCTCGTGTGTTTCTAAATCTGTTTTGGTGAGCAGAACAGGAGTGATGGTTCCCAGGATCAGATTAGTTATTGAAGGCTCAAAAATAACTTTGTATTTTTAAGGCTTTCTTTGGACTCCAGTGGGATCTGAAGAGCTGTGGGAGGAGATAAGGGACGCAGAGGGAGGTGTTTGGATAAGATGTTTGTTACCCAAAGCAAATGATCAAGATGCAGGGGTGCCTACAGGGACAACACAACAACACGAGAAACCAGTTAACTTTCTTGCAATTTTGGAATTGTTGGCAGGCTGTAATGTCAGTTCTGTGTGGAGGCAAAGCTCCAGTCTGTATTGTTCTTGATCAGATACCAAACTGCTTGACAGTATAACCCCCTAATTTAGGCCCCTTGAATGTCATACAGGGATGATTGCTTCTCCTGGAAGTCCCTTGCAGCTCTGAAAGGGTTCTAAATGCTTTGACAAATTGTTTTTCCATTTGCATGAGCACCTCTTTATTCTCTGCTTAGTTTTTGTCTTCTTCCCTGCTGCCAAGCATGTGCCCTGATTCATGCTGCTCAGAAATTTTGCGCTTTGTAGTCTAATTAGGTGGATCAAATCAAGGCAAGTTTTGAACAGGATTTGTAAAAACACAGCCTTACTCAGAGTTCAAGACGCAGGAGTGTTTCTTTTAATAAAGATAACCTGTTTTCACTTTGACTGGGAGTTTTCTCTTTGTCACAGATAAGTGGGCAAGAGGATTATTCATACTGATTTAATCTTACCAGGTGAAAGGGTGGAGAAACTAAAATTGAAGATTGCAGTTGCAATTTCACTTTACTCAATATTTATTATGTGAAGAGTCCATCATGAAGGGAAATGTTGTTTCTAACAAAGAGAATAGTTTTTTGATAATTCATTCAAATAAAACATAGTAACTGCTTTTTGGCTGAGTGGCAGCCATTGTTGACTGCTCTTAAAGTAACATTTGGGTTTTGCCTTGCTTTAGAAACTTCAAATTTGAAGATGAATTTGTAAATATTCCTCAAAGTATCGCACGGATAAGTAAGGAAGCTGGTGTGGAAAAATTCATTCATGTCTCTCACCTGAATGCTAGTATGAAGAGTCCCTCCAAATACCTCAGGAACAAAGTAAGTCTGGAATCCACTTGAATATATTTCCTGAGAATGTACTTAGTGTTTGGTTTGGGTTTGGTTTGGGTTTGGTTTTTTTCCCCCAGCTGGGCCTGTTAGAAGGAAATCAGTGTATGAATTTACTAAAGCCTTTGTTCTGCAGCTGAGAAATGTTTCAGCTTTCTGTGAGACCTTTATCTTAGAGCAGCATCTTGAGGATGAAATGGCTTAGATATAAATAATTTTTGTGCTACTGATGGTGTCTTTTCTTTCAGTTCTGTAGTCAAGGATGCTTTCTGTTATGAAAGGCATCCACTTCTGCTTGGTGCAGCATGGATCTAGTGAATGTGTTTGTTTTAATTGATAGGCTGTTGGAGAGGAAGCAGTGAGGGAAGAATTTCCAGATGCTGTAATTTTGAAGCCCTCTGAGATGTTTGGGAGAGAGGACAGATTTCTCAATCATTATGCAAGTAGGTACTCTTGGAATAATAAACCCATGTATGATTTGTGTAACTGCCTCTAGAGAACAGAGAGAAAATGGGATTTGCTTCTGAAAAACATACAGGTGTGTTCTTTTCAGCAATGTGAGGGATATATAGCAACATACTAAATTCTCAACTCTTGACAGAATTCTTTCTCAATCTAGTTAGATGTTGCTCTTTGTTTTTATTTTTGTAATAATCTTATTTTAAGAGGGCGTGTGTACTGACCAACTCTAAGGAAACAGCAAATGCAGCCCTCTCATTGCTGTTAATACAAAAACTAAATGTGTCTTGGAAAAAAAATGCTGCTGAAATTGGCTGGGAGTTCTTCCAAATCCTATTTTTTTTTTTCTGAAGAGAAGTCAATTTTCAGAAGTGGTCCACACTCAGTGTTGTGTCAAATGTCTTGGTTATTCTGGTACTGAAATGAAAGGATTCCCAGATTTTCTTTTTTTTTCTGTCAGACATGCGCTGGTTTGGTGGCGTGCCTCTTGTTTCTCTGGGCAAAAAAACAGTCAAGCAACCAGTCTATGTAAGTTTTCCATGAAATCTCAATCCCAAGTCCTTGGTGGGTGGATGTATTGGTCTGTAAACCACCTCTGAAATAAGAGTGTGTGCATGTATTCATTCCTGTTTTGTCTTGGTAACTGTTGGGATTTGCTCCTTACAGGTGGTTGATGTAGCAAAAGCAATTGTTAATGCAATTAAGAATCCTGATGCAAAAGGAAAAACATATGCCTTGGCTGGGTAGGTCACTTTTTCTGATTCTAGTTAACTCTAGTACATCTTTTTGGTGTCATTTTTTGGCATGCTGCACAGTACATTTAATTTCTCCATCCATGCACACAGTGTGAGCTGCAATAAATTCCACCTCCTTTTTGGGAGGAAAAATGGCTCAAGCTCTTACTGTGAGTACTCTGAAAATCCTAATCTGGACCCCACTGCATTTCATGTGATGTATGTGCACACAAAGAAGTAGTAGCTTGGGAACCATGCTAGACAACATGGATTTGGGGAAAATTCTGGTAAAGCTGTGTGGAAACCACCTGCAATTAGAATGGTTTAGAGGCAGTGAATGTACAGTTGGAGACTGGATTTACAGTTTACCCAGAGAATCTGTGGCTGCCCCATCCCTGGAAGTGTTCAAGCCCAGGTTAGACAGTGCTCTGAGCAACCTGGGATAATGGGAGAGGTGGGTCTAGAATCAGATGGTTTTTAAGGTCCCTTTCAACCCCAAACCATTTTATGATTCTTTGATCTCTTGGAACTTTTCTGGAGAACATGTCAGTTTTCATGCTTGTAACATTAGACCTTGGCATCTGTGAGATCCTGCGTTTATCAAACTGCTCAGCAGTGTGCTCTTGTGCTGTCATGGAGCTTTTCAGAATGTTTTGAATGGCAGCAAATTGCCTGGAAGGCCAAGGGAGATACCTGACAGCTCAGTCTGAGCACATCTAGAGTGCTTAAAATTCCAAGGCAGGATCTTAGCAAGAAAGGAATGAGAATTCCTGGTGTTTTATGTTACTCTTAGGCAGGTGGATGGAGGACTGATTGCTTCGTTCTCTCCATCTTGAGAGGGAATGTATTTTTTGGACAATTCATCTTGCTTTTAAATAGAACAAGATACTCTTAGTCAAGTAAAGGAAACTGAATCAATTTCTCTGCAGCCATTTCCTACCAAATATGGGGGATGTCTTTTTAATAAAGCATCCTTAATTCTCCATTTGATTTTTGCGTTCCAAGTGGGCTTGAACAAACTCATGTCACAGTGCTGGAAGTCTTTGAGTTCAGAATAGAATCAGCATGGAAGGAGGCACATTCAGGTGTGCTTTCAAAGCACACAAACACTTCATCCAGTGTGGTTGTGGTGGGCTAGCCTTGGCCAGCAGCCAAATACCCTCTCTTCCTTTCTGCCAGATCTCTTCCATGCTTTTCCCCAGCTCCAGGATGGGCCCTTCAACAGGCTGCAGTCTTCCAGGATAAACCTCCTCACTGTGAGCCACAAGGGAATCTCTGCTGGCAAATGATTTGGATTGAAGAAACAGGCTTTGGGGTGGAGGGTTTAAAATCGTTTATCTTCTCTGGTGCTGATATTGCAGTGTAGCTGACTGAGGTGTGACGTGTGCTGCGTTCCCTTCCAGCCCTCACCGCTACCTCCTGTACGACATGGTCGAGTACGTCTACGCCGTTGCCCACCACCCCTTCATTCCCTACCCGCTGCCACGGCCTCTCTACCAGTAAGTGGGACCCTAATTCAGTAAGCTCCTGGCAGCACAGAAGCATAAATACCTCTTGCATGGATTATTTACTCTGCCCAGTTGTTATTAAAGTGGTGGGCCTGCCAAAGTTGCCTTTCCTGAGGCACTTCTTAGACAGTTTTGAGCCTTCAGCTTGAGGACAGGCCTGCATTTGATGAGCTGGTACATGAAATGCATGCTTTTATTGAGCTTAGCATAGCTGTTCATTGCAAAGTCATTTCTCCCTGACACCTAGGGGGACAGACAGCATTGAGAGGACATAGCCTCAAGCTGCACCAGGGGATGCTCAGGAAGAATTTCTTCACAGAAAGAGTGGTTGAACATTGGAGTGGGCTGGCCAGGGAGGTGTTGAAGACACAACTGGACGTGGCACTCAGTGGTCTGGTTGACAAGGTGGTGATCAGCAAAGATTTGACTTGATCATCCTGGAGGTCTTCTCCTACCTAAGTCATTCTGTGATTGAATGGCTTTGCTGAGCCAAGAAGAAGCAAAAGGTCCTAATTCAATAAAATTATAAGTAAACCAAATGATTTTTAACAATACCGCAGGGAAAATTTGTGTGTATGTGTATGCAGACCCTGACAGATTTTTTTGCACAATCTTAAGGATCTGCTACTGAGCCTGGGACCGATCCTTAGGGAATAATCACACCTTTTTGAAGAGCTACCCCAAACAATAAATGCTATTTCAGAAGTCGCCCTCAGCATGATGGGTCTGTGTTATCATTTGGCATCCTGGTCCTCCTTATTTTTAGTAAAATACAAATTAACAAGCTTAATCAGTCACAAGAGTTAGAACCCTCCTTCCAGTACAACTCAGCATTGGAAGAGCTGATGGATAACACTTGGAACATCCTAAACTCTTGTGGCTGTTGCAATATTTGCTGCAAGAGGCACCAGGGTATAACATGACTCTGGTGACACAGAGCAGCTTGTTAGAAAGGTTCTATGTGGGTGCTTCTTCGTTTCATTCACATGTGCTGCAGTCCATGTTATGCTTTTTTATTTATGGGCTAAACTAATTTGAGAAAAATGCACCTAAAAGGCAGATGAGCCTGGTTGTGTTTATGTGCAGTGACTCAGTAGAACCCTAATCTTCCAGGTGAGCACTTCAGCAAGAAGTCCTGCCTGTTCAGTGAGTGATTCTGCTGTTGGTCCCGAGACACTGAGCAAGAACTAGAGCATTATTTCCTTTTCCCTGTCAGATTTCCCTTCTTTCAAGGGAAACTTCATTTCTGAAAACTGCAGATAACCCCAGTCCTCACCCTTTTTATAGATTGCTTCGGATTCCACCAGATTGTTTGTGTTGCTGATAACCCATTTAGTTGTCAGCAAGCATGTTTTCTCCTGGAGGCATTGAATCCAACTTTGTGGCTAATTGGATTGCTGCCTACACTGGCAGGGAGCAGAGTTTGGATGAAAGGCAGGGGCAAGACTCAGCCCTTTGGTGTGTGGGGAATTGGATAACCAATAATGCTCATTTTAACTTCTAGAGATCTGCTTCTCTATTCCATCCAAAGTAAAATAAAAGAATAATTCAGGAACAATTAATTACCAGAAACACAACTAAGAACTTGGTGGCTGGCACATCTAGTGCTTTAATGAGCTCAGAGCTTGCAAGAACTCTTGCTCACCCTCTATTAAGTCTGAAATAATTTTTTACCAGATTTCTGTGTATCTGGATAAATGACTGCACCTTTGCAATATTTCTTCTGTTCACAGTTTTATTGCAAGATTCTTTGAGATGAATCCATTTGAACCATGGTTGACACGGGACAAGGTGGATCGGGTAAGTGAGGACCAGCCAAAAATCCCTCCTGGGAAATGTTTCATTGTGCATTTGTAGCTCCTGCTTGCAGTTTTGCATTCCCCAAAACCACATGGAGTTGAAAACGGCCAAGAGTAGAGGTTGGATGAGCAAAGTGAAGGGGGCACTCTTAGTTTATGCACCTCTAGATGCACTAAAATCACTTCCATCATCCAGGGAATGGTGTTTTTAACAACTGAAGTTGAATTGGTCCCTGCACACATTCCAAAATCTCACTTAGCATTCAAGTGTGTTTCCTGGGAGAACATGGCCACTTCATGTTTATTCCTGACTTCTCAGAGTGTTTCAGTGGGGTGGAGAAGTAAGTTGCAAAAAACTGCAAGCAAGGAAAAAGCAGGAATTGGGAAGTATTAGTGTCAAAATTTGGCTTATGTGTAGGCTAGCAGAGATAGTCATGTACATTCCCTAAACTGTCTGCTTTCTGAATTATGGAGTTCATCTTCCACCAGCATTGGAATTTCAATATATTTTGTTCTAACACAATATCAATAGCCTACTTAACCTGATTGTCCCCCAGGATGTAATTGTAACATCTCCAAAAACCTTTCTTCAGCTGCTTTTGTAGTTTCTTGAGTTGCATTTCATAAAATAAGCCTGCACCAAATCACTAAAACTGTTGCAAGTCAGCTGTAGCATAGGTAGTGTGAGAGAGAGTTTCTCTGTGTCACTTCTGAGTTTGATTCTTCCTCTTTCCAAGCTTTTCTTCCTTAAATAATCTGTGCAATATTAGATGTGTTTGACTCAAAAGGCCTTTCAAGGAACACCTTGAGAAATCTCTGTTTTCTAGGAATTAAGTCATATGAGTTGCATATATGGTAATAGAATTAACTATTTGTGCAGAACCTTATTCTAAACCATAAACAGAGCAAAGGCATCTACCAGAGGTGATAATTCAACACAACATTTTCTTGACAAATCATAATATCCATAATTGGAGTTCAAGTATAGCCTTGGAATTCTGCTTGGTTTTGCTGTTGTGATGCAGTAACCTCCCTGATAATGTATGGAAAAAAAAGGAAGGCACTTCCTGCATGGTATTTATTCCTGAATTAAAGCCTGAAGGACTTCTTGCTGGATGCAAATACCTGTGCTTCCTGTCGAAGGTCTTGGTACTCACGACCTCGTGTAATTATGCTACAATTCCGTTTGATCATTCCTCTTCCTCTACTTTTGGCAGGAGAGTGATTGCATTCGGTGCAAAGCTGTTCATTTCAAGTGAATTATCTTTTTTTTTTCCCCTTACCCTCCCCATTCTTGTTGGAAGTTTCACACAACAGACATGAAATTTCCTGACCTTCCTGGTTTTGAAGAGCTGGGGATTGAACCAACCCCCCTGGAACAAAAAGCCATCGAAGTCCTGCGCCGTCACCGCAGGTTCCGCTGGTTGGACGCTGAGCTGGAGGAAGTAAAGCCAAAAACACAGCCCGTGTAACAGCTGGCAAGGGGGATGCTTAAAGCTTCTTAAACTGCCTTTGGATGACCCAACTTCTTTGGAGAACTGTGTACATACTGAGTAAAATGTATTAATCATGTGAACTGTATTTCACCAGTGTTGTCTTTTCAGTTAAGGGGGGGCTATCATTGCAGCGTGGTTTTTCTCTCTGCCACAAAAGCAAATACCATGGTTGCCTAGCTGGTGGGCATTGTAATGTTTTGAAGGTTGGGATTAGAGGAAATGTGTCATAACACTTGTCCCTTTCTCCCTTGACTCTCAAAGCAAATGTATCACTGAGCTTTAGGTGTTAAAATAGTTTCAAGTGTTGCCGTTGGGGACTAGGTCACCCAGAAACTGCCCTTTACAGTAGGGATTTCTAGGAGTGCCACTTGTTCAGACTACGAGATCTCAGACAAAGCCCTGGTTTTAAGTTTTTGACTCTTCTGAACTTTGTTTTCTGTGCTGAGCATGGCTCTTAAAAAAAGTGCCAGCCTCCTTTCAGGGAGTTGTAGAGAGCCACGAAGTCACTGAGCCTCCTTTTCTCCAGGTTTAACACCCCCAGCTGCCTCAGCTGATTGCTGTAGCCAGAGAACAGGCTCACTCTTTCTGTATTGCCAAACTACTGTGAAACTCCTGTGCAAGGTGTTTCTCAGATTTCAAGAGCTTCCACATTTTGTTGTTCCACATCAAAACTGCTGCTGCTAATGTTTATTCTGTGAGAAAGTGATGGGCTCTTGTGAGTTTTTTGATCCTGCCTTTGAAGGAAGTATTAAATTTGGCTCTTGGGGATTGTTTATTTTTCTTTTGATAAGTTCAAAAGCAAAGGCAAACTGGAAGTGAAGTGCATATTCATAGTAATTTGAGCCTAAATTTTTATTATTTTTGACTGCCAGCTTTTCTCTATCAGACCTTAACTCTGTAGTCTCATTAGCACTCATTTGATAAGTGTGGTCCTGATCTTGATTTATTGCATGTTGCTCACGTCCTGCTGTGAAAGCACTTGTGTTCCTGAGCTGCTTCACAAGAGTACAGAAAGCTGCAATTATCACGTAGCCCTGCATGGCTAACAAGCAGTTTCCATTTTCAGATGGCCAAGTGCTGCAGGAAAAGCTGGCAAAGGCAGTGTTGGAATGTGAGGTGCCAGTTCTGGAAATGTTTACCACAGTGCAGTGATTCATTTCTCCCACCCCTCTCATTCAAAGCACAGCTTTTCCAGTTGTACTGAACTCTCCTACAGTATCTTAAATTAACAGCCATTAGAGAGTGGGAAAGGAGTGAATATCCATAAGAAATATACTTGAAGCAGCTGTTCCACATCAGGATTATAGGTAAAGTGGAGCATCACACCACAATACTTCAGCTTACACAGCACTTCCCCTTCCCACCTTGCAGAAACTACACTGTGATTTCTCCTTAGTTACCTTTCCGAAGCAATCCCTTTCTTTTGTAATACAGCCCTGAGTACAGAACTGCTAAAGTTGGAAAAGACCTCCAGTGTTGAGCCCAATCTTGGGTTACCACCTTGGCGATTAGACCAGAGCACCGAGTGCTACACCCAGTGGTTTCTTGAACACCTTCAGGGATGGGGATTCCACAGCATCCCTGGGCAGCCCTTCCAGTGCCTGAGCACCCTTTCTCTGAAGAAATTCCTCTTAATGTCCAACTTGAACATCCTTTGGCACAGCTTGAAGCTGTTTACTATTGTCCTATCTTATTGGGAGCAGAGTCTGACCCCACCTGGCTGCACCCTTCTGTCAGGGAGTTGTGCAGAGCCAGAAGGTCCCCCCGAGCCTTTTTTCTCCAGGCTGAGAAGTGCTTAAGGATTTCTCCAGTTGCTTAGAGGTCAGATTTTAATGACTGAGAGGAGCATTCATGCTGGCAGTAATTATTCTGCAGTTACCTCTCTCTCCCTGCTCTTTCTTCTTTTCCCTGTGCCCTATAAGAAGTGCACGTGGATGTGATTCTATGAGAGGAGATCAGAGGACCGATACATTTAAAGCAATCCAAATTCTCAGTAATTAATGAGACTATTATTGCAACTTCTTTGAGGTAGGGGAGTAGAAGGTGAAGGGCACTGCCAAAAGAGCAAAGGGAAGCTGGTGGCAGAACTGAGAACCGTGATGGTGTGCTGCTATAGTGCTTTTAATTCCTGGAACTGGCTCCCTAAACACCATTCCTTCTTGTAAAAGCTTAACATTAGGTGGGCATGTTGCAAACTACAGAATGGAAATTGCCTTTCTCATCGTCATTAGGGAACGTCAGGGATTTTGTTATCGAGATTCTGGTTTGAAGCAACACGTGGAATCTTCAGGTGGAAAAACATCTCTAGCAGCACAGACCTGGCTTGCACTGAATCGCCAGTAGTCGGAGCTGCTGCTTGGCAAATCCTGATCCCGGTTTTCCATTCACCTCTTCCAGAACCTCCTTCCCCAACATTCATTCTCTGGGCTGATACAACTGATTAAAAAGCCATTAAATACCTCCCTCCGAAGTTTTTTGTGTATACACACCCAAAGAGGAGTGGTCAACAACTCCCTGTCCTGATGGACATCGGAGACAAGTGGTATCCCTTGGGAGATCATACTGGGATCTGTGTTATTATAACCTTTTGCAATGGTGCAGCCTAAGGGATCAAGTGCACCCTCGGGAAGTTTACAGATGACACTAAAGCAGACTTGTCACACCTGAAGGACAGGATGCCATCCAGAGGGACTTGGCACAGGTTGTCCAGAGCAGCTGTGGCTGCTCCATCCCTGGCAGTGTCCAAAGCCAGGCTGGATGGGGCTCTGAGCAACCTGGGCTAGTGGAAGGTGTCCCTGTCCATGGCAGGGGGGTGGAACAAGATGATTTTACCCTTCCAACCCCAACCATTCTGTGATTGTGTGATTTTGGCAACAGAGGTGTATGTTTCCTTGCTTTAAAACCATTGAGCTCACTTGTCTCAAGATTATCCCTGAACCTTACTATTGCAAACCTCCTCTACATGGAGGAGATGCCTCTCAGCCTCTGGTCCCTGGTCAAAGCAGTCTGTGCCAAGAAACAAAATCTCAGTTCTGCCAGAGGAGCACCTCAGGTGCTGTAAGGGATTGGTCAAACTGCCTGCACCTGAGGAGCCTTTCAAGGGAGCCTCCCCTCAGGTGTGACTGGAGGCAAGACTGGGGGCAAAGGTGACAACAAAGTGCTTAAAGCAGCCTCAGGTGTGTGCCAAGGGATCAGTTTGGCTCTGGCAGTGGTGGTTGTGGGAGCTGCTCATGGATGTCCTCCCCTTCAGTCAGCGGTGCCTGTGGTAAGTCACTCTTTTGCCTTTTTGCTATCTGAAATATTTGTTGTGGGCTTCACAGATTCAAGAATGGATGGTTTTGCAAGCTGGAGCTTCAGTGAGCAGCTGAAAAATTCTCCCCTAGAGATATTGTGTTTCTTCTGGGTTGGTGTCCTGTGCTTGGTTGCTTGGGGCTATAACAGCATCAGTGCCTCATTTTGTCCCTGTTATGGTGTTTGTGTTGTCTCTCTGCCTTGGAATTAACTGCTGTGTAAGGCTTAAATTTATGTTCTAATAGTTCTATGCGTGGGTAAAGTGCAGGTTTTGTTCTCTATGAATTTGTCCCATCTTTGGCCAACAGGACTTTCTGAGGGAAGGGTGGAGAATAGGAGCACCTACACATTCTGTAGGTACAATTTCCTTAGGAAGTTCACCTCTTGCTAATGTTGCAATTAATTAAAATAAGGGTGATGCTGCATTTTTTGAGCCTCTGAAATCTGAGGGCAGCCTCGGCAAAACAGAGGTTTTGTCCCAAAAATGTGTCAGGGCAGTAATTTAGTAACACAATTGAGTGAAAATGAAAGAGGTTTGTCTGCTTCCAGTTTTGCCAGCATTTTTCTTACCTTTTTCTCCCACATACACCTCATGCTTTATACCCTTAAGTTTGGTTTGGGTAGGAAAGAAAGAGCCACTAAATTTTCCATGTTTGTTGCTCCCCGGACCACCTTATTCCTTTCTTTTTGCTGCCTTTAGAGTTTTCCCAGCCTGAACTTCAGTTCATTTACAAATCTATAACAAAAGAAGAACCTCTTACATCTTTGTGTCTTCATGAAACAAGAAAAATCTAGTGATACAGGGTAAATTATAGAACAATCCCCTTCCCTATTAATTAACTATTACTCTAAATATTTGAAATTTTTCATGCTAGTCTTCAAAAACTGGTTTAAGTCTATATGAAATTCCTAATCTGATTTACTCAGGCCACTGACTTCATTTTAGAACCACAGACACATCATCCCCGGGCAGCCTATCCCAATGCTTGATAACCCTTTCTGTGAAGAAATTCTTGCTGAAAAGAGAAAATTCAGAAATGCGGAGGAAATGCTTCCCTCCTTGGCTATGTGCTCAAGCTTGCTTGGCTTTGTTGTGTGTGCAGCAGGAACCCACCTTGGGAGGAAGAATTGGAAAAGGAAGAAAAGGTTTTAGTCTGTAGTGTCTGGTGGAATGGAAAGAAGAGCTGGTCTGGAGACAGGAGCTATTTAAGGGGCTATTAACTGGCAGTTTCTTTAAGGGGAAACTAAATCAGAGAACAGACAGAATAATTTAATCTGTTACTGAGGGGTTTGATTCATTCTGATCAAACCTTGTGTGGTAAAACTGTGATAATCAATAAGAAGATAATGTTAAAAAAAAAAACCACACTGCTTTCATTCACATCTTTTTTTGCTTGACTTCTCTAAAGTCAGGAGATAAATTTAGATTTACCTCTTCATTTTCCTTCCTCTCTGTGCAACTGCAGCCCTGCTGAAACATTAAGTGTGCTTGTTATGAATGGGGTATAGAGCCCTGCTTGCATCAAGCGTGCTCCAGTCAGGACCAGTGGGCAACCTTGAGCTGATTTATTATTTGAATTTCATCTGTCTCATATCAAAAGTAAGAGAATAAAAAGGGTAGTTTTCAGAAAGTTAGATGATTTACTAATTGGTTTAATCTGTTTGTCACTATTCCTGTCCATATCACAACACAAGTTTTCCATTCCTATACAAAGTTCTGGGGTTTTTTTTGTTGTTTGTGGGTTTCTTGTTTGTTTTGTTTTGTGGGTTTGTTTTTTTTTAATTTGTTGATGT